ATATTAAAATTTCCAAAGGTTGAGTGATAGAGGCAGCACATAAAGCTTTCATGAATCTTTATCCCCCCAAAAATATTGTCAGTAAAACATTTTCCTATTTTATGGGCCAAGGATTTAGTTCAGTGTCACCACGCGTGCCTTGAAAGCACAAGGTCCTTAGTTAGAGCCCTGGTACCAAAAAAAAAAAATTCCTATTTTTGCCTATCACCGATATTTTTGTTCTTCTTGAAAAAGTGAGTTTATGTTAACATTGTAATTTTTTAATATAAAATAATTTACACAGCTGGGTGTAGTGGTACATACCTGTAATACCTACACTCAGCAGGCTGAAGCAGGGGGATTGCCCCTGGTTCAAGACCAATATGGACTACATAGTGAGTTCAAAGCCAGCCTTGAGACAATGTGACCCTGTCTCAAGAAAAAAAATATGTGTAGAGATATTTAACTTCTTGTGTGATGTGATTTAATGAAAAATCCTAAAATTTTAGAATGAATTAGTATGTGTAGACTTATACTTTTATGTAGGGTAAAGTTCAAAACAATATGTCACAGAATTTATATATGATTTATCTCCAAACTTAATACATTTTCTTGAATAAACTATTAATAAAACAAATCATTGAAGTTATATTTTCTAATTTGTTAAAATACAGACAGCTGTTTCACACTTCAACTTGATGTTTTCTATTATACACCTCAAAATCATATTTACTTAACAAGAAATTTCATGGATTACAAAAAGACAACAGATAACTGAAATATTTCCCTTATAGTTCAAGCACTCTATATAATCCTCTTGTTTAAAATGATTAGTGATAGGCTGGGCATTTAGCTCAGTTGTGCCGCCACCTGCCTCACAAGCAGAAGGTCCTGAGTTCAATAGCCGGTACCAAAAAAGAATAAAGAAAAAAAAAAGAAAATGATTAGAGGTTGTGTTACTTTCTTTTGCATAAAATCCTTTCTTCTTCATACAATACCGAGGTGAAAGATTATTAATGTAATAAAACTCTAAGCACAATTCTCTGTAGCCTTGGTTTTAAAAAGCTTATAAAGAAATGTGGCAATTTATACAGCTACTTTGCATAGTTTTTCTAAATATTCCTCATCTATTTAGTTAAAAGAGCCTCAGTGAACCTGTAACACAACGTTCTTTTGAGACTTGCTAGTGTTGAGTTGAGCACCATTTCCCAACTCTCCTAATGTTTCTTCTATTCTAGACATGGCTCCAGTCACAATTTCTGTGTCCCTAGTGGAAATCCTATTTCCTCTGTAGTAATGGTCAACCTGATGATCAGTATAATGCTGTTCCCAGCTATAATGTCTATCTGCTGGGTAGGGATGGGAATTCTGTCTGACTTTACAGTGTAATGACAGTATATATTGGAGCTACTGGGAGCTTGCAGACTGGGGAAAAGTATGGTTATGTGACAGAACTGTTGAAGATCCTGACTGATTCACATGTGGAGAAACAAATTTCCTACTGTATGATATCATACTCAAAACATTGTTTAGCACTCTTTCTCTCTGATAATTTTTTGGAGAGAATTATTTTTGAATTATCTGCGATGATAGTTATTATCCATAGTTCTTTTGTATCTGCTGTTAGTAGATGTGGAGGTAGGGCTTGAATTTCCAAATCAATGCTGGGGGTACAATAAACTGTAAGCCAAGACTAGGATATCATAAATCCTTACTAAATGCTGGCTAAATGTGTTAACTGCAACAACAGCACTTTGTACTTGGCTTAGAGGTGGCAGAGAGGAGGCACTGATTAAAGCCAAGGAAGTCAGCAAAATTTTAATGGGTCAAGTGGTGTTGGAGTTGGATATTAAAGAAATAGTAATTTCATCAAAAGAGAATGGGCGGGCCCGGGATTTAGCTCCGTGGTTCCAGCGCCTGGCTTGCAAGCGCAAGGTCCAGAGTTCGATCCCCGGTACCAATTAAAAAAAAAAAAAAAAAAGAGAGAGAGAATGGGGAAAGGGCCTCCAGGTAGAGAACAGTAGGAATAAGAACATAAAAGAAAAGGCTGGGGATTTAGCTCAGTGGTTCCACTGCCCGCCTCACAAGTGCAAGGTCCCAAGTTCAATCCCCAGTACCAAAAAAAAAAAAGAACATAAAAGAATGAAATTGCACTATGTTCAAGAAACCAAGAGTAGTTTGCTATTACTAGAGACTCAAAAGACTAGTGAGAGAAGAGGCTAATGAGTCAAGCAAGGGGTACACACAAGCAATCTGGTTTGGACTTAATCCTGCAGGTGATGAGGATTTTGTTGTTGTTGTTGTGTGTTGGGAATTGAACCCTAGTGTAAGAAATACTGTAGATAGATGGTCCATTTATTTAGCTTTGGACAGAAATGTACTGACTGGTGCACAAAGAATGACCCTCACCTAGAAAGTCAGGACTAGGAAAGGTGTCAGGACTAGGAAAGGTCTCAGGACTAGATAATGGCTAAGCAAGCAAAGTTTTACAATCAAAAAGAATGCAAAGGAGGGGAAAGTGGGGGAAGGGACTTTTTGAGAAACTGGGGAAACTGAGATGGCAATTGCAAAAGATTATATGCCAAAACTTCTCCCAGTGAGGGACAGGGAAAGGGACCTTGCAGGCTAGGGCATATAAATGTCACAGCTCATTTGAAATGCATGTATCTGCCTTCAGGCAGATATGTTTCTACAAAATTGTTATTAAAAATTTTGCTTCTGCTGTTCATGCTTCTGACCCCATATTTTTGGGGTCTGGACTGTGTCTGCTCTGGGTATGGGGTCTTCTCCCACACCTAGAATGTATTTTTTTTTTTTTTTTTTTTTTGGTACCAGGGATCAAACTTGGGTCCTTGCGCTTGCGCAGCAGGCGGCGAAACCACTGAGCAAAATCCCCAGCCCCTAGAAAGAATTTTTAAAAGTAATGTTACAGCTGCAAGAATTGGAAAAAGGAATCTGTTATACCCAGGTTTCCCAATTATTAACATCCTATCACACTTACCTTACTCATTTTGTCTCTCAAACATCAAAACACACACAAAATACACACACACACACCAGTGTATAGGTACCAACATTTTAACTGTCAAAGTTAGAAAATTCCTAAGGATTCAATACAACTTAATTTTTTTCTAGCAGAAATGTTTTTCTTCTGGTCCAAATTTCAACCTATAATCATGTATTGGCAGGTAGTAGTGTCTCTTTAATCTCCTCGGATCTGGAACATTTCCTGAAATTTGAATAATGGCATTTTGAAGAGTAAAGCTCAACTGTACTACAGACTGTCTTCAGTCTGATGTTTCCTCATGATTAGAATCAATTATGCATTTTGGGCAGGAATACCACAAAAATATACAGTGTTCTTTTGGTGTTTCATATAGGTTGATGTGCAAAAATGATTTGTCCCTTATTGGTGATTTTCACTTTGATAACATGGTAATGGGAGTGTGTCAGTTTGCACAATCATAAAGTTACTGTATTGCCTTTTTAAATAATGTTTTGTAGTGAATGGTGAAATATCTAAAAATATGGCAAACTATATAGGATGATATATAGGATGAAAATCCTTTGATGGAACAAGTCCATTTTTAAGGGTATATCCTAAGCAAATAAAGATTAATGCAAAGTTGTAGATAAACAGGTATTCACTGAAGCTTTGCTTATAATATATAACAGTTAAAAATAACCCAAATAGGGGCTAGGGATTTAGCTCAGTGGTTCAGGGGCCTGCCTCATAAGTGCAAGGACCCTAGTTCAATCCCCGGTACCAAAAAAAGCCAAACAAAAAACAAACAAAAAACCCCCAAATTACCATTAATATTAGTGGATTTGCTCAGTATAACGAGCCAGTATTATACAGTCACTAAAATTATGTTAGCAGTGTATTTGGTGACAATAAAGGAAGTTCACAATATAGTAATTAAAGAAAGCAAATAACTACTCTGTATTCTACAGTCCAGTTATTTAAAAATATTATACATATATGAATATATGGCCTTTTTTCCTTTTGCTTGTGTATGTTTTTATTATTTGATTTTATTACATTACTTATTTGTAATGCCTACTCAATGTTATTAAAGTGATATGAGCTTTTGTGTAAAAAATGAATGCTATTAACCATGGGGAAATTTTTTAAAAAACATTAGACAACAAAGTTCACAGCATTTGGTTGACGATCAATGAACGTTAGTTTCTCTTCCCTAGTGATAGAAGGTATTCAAGCACAAGTTAAGAAATCTGGAATGTAATTGATTTAGGCAACACGTTTGAGTCTGATAACCTCTAAAACTTCTTTAAACTGTGACATTTCAGGATTAATACAACGCTCTCCTATTCGTCAACAGTCAACAAGGATAATAGAAAAATATTGTTTGCATTGACTATCCAGTAGTTGTGCTACTTATTACCAGCACTATACATTTTGAATGGTGGGGTAAGGGTGGTGGAGTTTGTAAAAAAAAACAAAAAACAAAAAAAAACCAGGCAGGAGCCCCTTAGATAGCGCTATGGTTCTGAGACGATCGTGAGGCCTCGGATCAAACAGAATTTAGAAAAATAAATTACTTTCCAAGGAGCCGCCCCAAGAACCAATGCTCCTTCCAACCACCTGTGAGTGGAGCACAGTCCAGCATCTGGGGTGTCTCAGTAAGGACTTCTGGAAGCGCCAGTGCTCGGAGCGAAGGCCGCTCCACCCGCGTGCCCACCCCGCCCTGACAGCCTGCGCCAGTCGGTCAGACTCGCAGTCGCCCAGCGCGGGGAGGCCCAAGCCTGCCTCCTTCTCGGCCCCCACGTGCTCGCGGCGCCAGCGGTGGGGGAAGGGCAAGGGTCGTGGGCGGGGACGGGGAGAGGAGGGGCGAGACGCAAACCGCTTGAGCGGCAGGGGCGGGGCGCAGGCCGAGGGGCGGGGCGCGCAGCGTGGGCCGTGGCCCTGCGCTCCCTTGAGCGGCCTCCAGGCCCGAGGCCGGCCACGCTCCCGCCCCGGCTCTCTCCCTCCGCACCGCCCCTCCTCCACACTGCCCCTCCGCCGCACCGCCCCTCCTCCTCCTCCTCCTCCTCCTCCTCTTCCTTGAGGCGCTCCTCCGGCGGGCGGCCAGCATGGCGGCCGTGGAGACGCGGGTGTGCGAGACGGACGGCTGCAGCAGCGAGGCCAAGCTCCAGTGTCCAACCTGCATCAAGCTGGGTATCCAGGGCTCATACTTCTGCTCGCAGGTAGCCGCCCCCGCCCTATGGCACAGGCCTGGCCGCCGGACCCTGATCGTCCGCATCGCTGTCGGCAAGTCGCCAGCTCTCCCCGCCGCACTTCCTCCCGCGCTCCGCGGCCGAAGACCCCGCAGCCTCTGAGGGCCGGCCGGCTGCGCGGGCGCGGCGCCGAGGCCTGGGGGCCTGGGCGCCGGCCGGAAGCAGACTTAACGCGCCGCCCTACCGCCCTCGGTTGCCGCGCCCGGGCCGGTTCAACCGGCGTCTCGCGGGGCGGGCGGCCAGGTGTGCGGCGGCTCTGTTGCGGGGAGCGCGCGACAAGGGCCGCCGCGGGGCTGAAGTCTGGCGCCGGGCTGCTAGGCCGAGTGGTCCCTCCCTGTGGTGCGGGCGGACTGGGGGGCGGAAGTCGCAGAGTGCTAGTTCAGCCCCACTTCTTTGTGTTTTATTGCCGCGCGTTGACACTTAAGCAACTTTGGGGTTAGAGGTAGAGCGTATTGTATGTAATTCATTCTTTTTCTTTAGAGTGCAGAACTATTAATTTAAAACATAAATTAATGGGACGAAGTCATTTTACTGTCACCGAATTTACCACGGAGTAAGGACAGTTCCACTGAAGGTTACGTTTAAGGCCGTAGTGCCTGAGTGTTGGGCAAACCCATCATTGAAGGGGTGTTGAGTAAAGCGTGTGTTTGTGTTTACAGATTGTTACTGTTACTGCTGCCTTTGGAGACTCAGAGTAATGGCAGGACAGCAGTAGTTTGGCTCTTAGTTCAGTCCAGGTGTGTTGTAGAGAGGCAAATCAGTGTTCAATTGGTAATGTCCTGGAGGGAGAAGAACATGAATCAAGAGTTCGAAATTTTGGTCACTGTGCCACCCTTTCCAGTTCTTGTGACATTTTGAAGTAGTCGAATTTATATACTTAATCTTTTTGAGTTCCAGTGTTACCCTGTATAGTGAGGATGATGATAATATTCCTTATATATTTCACAGGGTGGTTCTGAGACCTAAATTACCCTATGAACTTGAAATGCTGGTACAATGTAAGGAGTTTGGGTTTTTTAAAGGCTGCCAGTACCATTTAACACTTCAGTGCCTAAAAATATAAATAAAAATGAAAAGAAATGTTAAAACAAATACAAATAATGCATTTTCAAATAGAAAATCACAGTTATATGTGAAAAATATACAAATAAAATCCTTATGGTCACAACACTTGTAGATTAAGCCATTGTAAAAGTCTTAGCTGTTACAATATGTAGGTCTTGTCTTGTTTTTACATAGGATAGATCCTTGACCTTGTTGGTACCATTTGGAAAAGTTGCACATGGGGAAGAGTTTCCTGATCTAAAAATAACATTGAGGCTACCTTAACATACTAAACCTAGTGCAAGTCCTTTTGATTAACGTTTTTTAAATTTCTACAGGCCTATGTGGGACCTGGACTTAAAACAAAAAAAACCGCAATAGTTTACTGTTGGTGGTCTCTCTAGAGGGAGACCTGAGACCCCGGAAAGCACTGACTTTTAAAGAAAGAAAAGGAGACAGCCTGGGGGACGAGCAGCAGTTTAATTCCTCTGACACTGTTCCACAATCACAAAGGAAAGAAGCAAGGCTTTTATACATGTAGGAAAGCGGCTTAGTTATTCTGGCTATTGTCTTTCTGATTTTAACTTCTGATGATAACCAGTGACTTTAAGTGACTCATAAAAGCTACAGGCGATTTCACAAGTCCCCTGTTTCCATTCACCAATCTCGTACATCACACCGTATCACACCGAAGCCCTCTTCTTATCAGATAGTATCAAGAGAGCAGGATGACTTTAGCGAAAATCAAGCCCACCTGCCCACCACAAACATCACAGATGTGCATAGTGAGTCATATCTGTCTCACCACCATAGAGTCATTGGGTTGTGGTCCTCTGATCCCAGGAAATGGCAAATAAGAAAACTGGGAAGACCTGTTTTTCTCCCATGAAACTTTCACGTCTCTTAAAGTTTTCTGGCATTCTTTTAACAAACAGACTTGTGAAGTTTCCCAGAAATGACTTAATTTTCTCAGTTAACAAACTTCTTCTGATCTATTCTTACAACTAGATAGCTGAATTCTACAATTTCCCACAGTTTACTTTTGAAAATTGTGTACCATCTGAGTAGAATAATGTGGTGGTTTACATGTTTAAAATTTGGTGGCATTTTGTAATGACCATTATGTACTACACTTACCTGTTAAAATCTTAGATAACAGGAAACCATATTTTCAAGCATAGGTGACATTCAGTAGAGAGTACATTGAATCATTGCAGTTTGTGGAACAAACTTCAGACACATTTGGTTTTATTTAGTATGGTAGGATTGGGGATACTCCATGTTGGATTCTGCAGGTACCTGTTGGGTAACCTTTTTAATCTGTAGTCAAACATATTTAGAATGGCGGTCACAGCTTTCTCTCTTCATTCATGTTATTACCTCCTGGAGTCAGTTTTAAAAATTTAGTAAGTCAATTGTAGTTTCCTCATTTCTCTATTGTAATTCTTTATCTTGCCATCAAACATCTGCAAAAAATTAACCAAACAAGACCGTTGTAGAGCAGTTGTTTTTTCTATTGTCTGGTTATACTTTGCCCCATAATGCAGTTTCCACTACTGTGAAGACACTAGATTCTCTCACTCTAGTCAGGCTGTGTTTACACTGTCCTTATCCAAAAGTCACCTGTTATCTGAAATCACAGCTCTTCAGCCCCTTGATTAAGGGGCTTGATCAGGTTACTGTAACTTCCAAGTCTGTTTCCACATTTATGATGAAACTAAGGCTTTTCCTTGCCACTTCCAATCATTTCCACTGGGAGTGGTCTGTCTTCTTTCTACCTTTTGCTCCTGGGTTCCAGTGTGGCTGTCTGGCCAATTGGATTTTGTGAACTAAGAGAACAATGATAGGAGGCCTTTCTATAATGTCATAACAGAAGTTAGCTTTTCTCAGTTACTGTGTCATATCACTTCATTTCTTTTATAACATATACAATCTGTAACTATCTTACTGTATTTGTTAGAAAGCAAATGTCGTTGAATCAGAAGGTGAGCTTCATGAATAAGCTGTCTTTTTTAATGGTTCTGCTCATTTCCTAGTATGATACTCAATACACAGTAAATAGTCAACAGGTTTGAATCAGTGAATAAAGTATCAAAAGGCAGAATAGAGGGTAGACTGTTGCATTTGAGTCACAACTCCATCTTTTACTAGCTGGTGACTTTGGGCAATTAATTTCTCTTTTCAGTTATCTTTTTAAAAGCAAAACCATTAATAGTAACTACTGAATGTAAGTATGTGATACACTTGACATACAGGTAAACTTAATAAATATTAGCTCTTTTCACTTTTACATTATATTGTATATTTAATAAGATACAGATTTGTAAAATATGACCTGCTTAAAATTTCTCCCAGGTCCTTGTATAAGTCCTCTCCTAATTTGTGAGAGGACTAATGGAGCATCTTTGAGGGTGGGTGAATAAAGGAGAGTAAAGTGCCTAGCACAGTATTCAGTAAATGATTTTATGATGTATATGACCTCATATGTACTATTAAAAACAGTTCCAAGGAAAGTTTGAAAATGCTCAGGGAGGAGGATATTGTTTGTTTATGAATATTTTGGACAAATTCTTACAAGTCTTTTCAAAGAGGCAATGACAAGGTAATGTTCACTCTCCCGAAAGAGTATGGTTGGTGATTTGCAGAATGGAGTTGAAAAGTGAGGATTTACCCTTTAGAAATGTAGCATCTATTTTTAAAAAATTTATATATATGTTTATTGGTATATTTTAAGTATAAAATACATTTACATTTATCATTAGGTGTTTGTACCAGAACGTGATGTATCTTAGTTCTTATTTTTTCTCCCATTACCTGTGCACCCTTAACCCCCTCCGCCCTTCCCTATTGACACAGAGTTTGATTCCATTTTTTTTTTCTTTCTTATAATATTTCCTTTCCCCTTCCCCTCCTGCCATCCCCAAACCCTTGGACCTTTTCTTATTGCAGATTATCAGTTACTCATTTTAATCATTTTCATCCTTTTTTTTTTTTTTTTTTTTTTTTCCGGTACCGGGGATCGAACTCGGGTCCTTGCGCTTGTGCAGCAGGCAGCAGAACCGCTAAGCTAAATCCCCAGCCCATTTTCATCCCTATCTACACTTTCAATTTCTCACACTAGAGAAACTATTCAGTATTTACACATGTGTGTCCTATTTATTTCACTTAAGAGTATGGCCTCAATATGCATCCATTTA